CCTCGAGATAATCATGCTAAGCGAAATAAGCCAGACAGAAAAAGTTGAAAATCACATGATATCACTTATATGTGGATATAAACCTAAAAGCAACAAACGGACAGGACAAACGAACAGAGACTCATGGACATGGACAATGGACTAGTGGTTACTAGAGGGTAGGGGGTGGGGGAGGAGGGGATAGGTAGATGGGGTAAAAAGGGTCAAATATTGGGGGGTAGGAGGAGAGTGAAGTTGGTAAAGGGGTTCAAATATATGGTAGCTGAAGGAAACTGGACTTTAGGTGGTAAACACACAATAGAATATACAGATGTCAAATGATAATGTACACCTGAAAATTATATAATTGTATTAACCAATGTTACCCCAATAAACTTTAAAATAAATAAAATAAAATAAAATAATAAAATAAAATTAAAAAGCTGAACTTGGAGAATAGTAATAATTAATTTTATTCTGACTTTAACTTGAAGGTATGAGACCAGAAAAGAGTTTAGAGAGGACCTGACATAAATTCCCTTTTATCCTGCACTTTTTCCATGCTAGTCACCATGTCAGACCCTTTACATAATATTATCTCTAATCCTATACAACTTTTCAAGATAGCTATTATATCTACAATTTAGAGATGAGTACACTGAGGCTTCAAGTAATGCAGTCTTCCTTAGATCACCCAACTATCCACAGAAGCAGTGTGACCAGCTGGAATCCCATAATCGTGATCTTCCATTGCCTTGTAAGGAGGTGTGTCCTGGTAACAGCAAATTGTACCTACCCCACAATTGTTGAAACAAATAAATAAAATAATACCAAAAAAAGCACTGAGACCAGTGCTCTAAACAGTGAGTACTTAATATGTTAGCTCTTAATGTAATTATTACTATCATTAGATATTTAATAAGGTAGTAACCTTACCTTCTTTTTACTTTCTCTTCTCCCTTGGCCCAAAAGAAGAGATGAAATATGCCTTTAAGTAGAAAGGGGTGGCTCCATGACTTAAGAGATTTAAGTAAATGTTCTTGCTCCAGGAGATCTTCTCTACTGGTCAATGCACAGTTCCTGTAGGACAGAGCCTGTTCTGTAAATCACACCCTTGCTATTTAACAAGTGTTGGTACTCAGTACAAAATCTATTTTCCTGCCTGGCTTAGTCCTTCGGTAGACCAGTATTGATGGACTCGTACTGCTTCCTGTGAATTGCCAGGACCAGCATTATAAATAAAGCGGTGCTTATTGAAAGCTCTTACTCTTGCTCATTCCCTTCTCTCATACACAGGCTGAGTAGAGATGAACCCAAAATGAGGTTTCCATGGATTTCTAGCCCTCTTCAATTAGCCAACTCGTGGCACTGTTTTACCTGGATGTAAGCACAATAGCAGCCAACCTACTTCTAGCAGATGATGGAATGTAGCTGTCAGCTCCTTAATGTAATTATTCCTATCAAGAGCTTTTATACTCTCAACCAATTACCATTTCATGTACTCATCTTATAATTTTTCATATGGGCTCCCTCACACATTCCCATATATTCTTGACACTCATATCAATTTCTTCCTCTCGTCTTCTCCCAACAAATACCACCCAGTTACAGGTGAGGTTTCTTCCTTTTTTCTCCACCCATGAGCATCTCCACAGCTGGGCCTAGTTAAATCTTGACTGCTTTTCTGAGTTAATTCTTCACTTCCCTTCCCCAGGCTGTTTGTGGGTGCACAGCTGCCATAAGGCTGCTCATCTCTTCCTTCTTCTCCTCTTTAGGCCTCTGGGAGTTTCTTCTAACAATAATGTAAAAGGGAATTCTTTGGTCTCCTCCTCAAGTGTCTGCCTACAAGAAAGATAAAAAAAGGCTCAAAAACTGGGGAAGAACACTTTGTTACTTAACACTCTGCACAACTATTTACCTTAATCCTGACAGCACATGAATGAGCATGGATACAAGTCTTCTGATATTACAGAGCAGCATTACAATATGTCCCTCATAAGATCCACATGCATGTACATTCATTCATCCACATATGAATCGATCCAATAAAAATACTTACCTGCTTGCTATGTGCTAATCACTGTAGTAAATCAGATGGAAACTGGATTGAAGAAGGAAGATCCAGACCAGGGCCAAAAGCCAGTTGAGACAATGTGGCAGTAGCTCAGGCAAGAGATGATAACGTCCTGATTGAACCCAAATAGTGGTGGTGGGGCTGGGAAGCAGAGACAGAGATAGGAGAGGTAAGGAGGGTGTATCAAAAGGATATGGGTATTTATTTAGCCTCACTCCTCCTGGGTGATATTTTGTTTTCTCCCTTATTTTCCTTTGTTTCTTTTGCATCATACTTATTTCGTGCTACTAAATTGGATTTTCTTGTGTCCTTATTAGCAGTTTTAAATCATTCCTGAGGCAACTTTTATTGTTTTCATTCATTCATTCACTTCCCTTTAGAGTTTATAAATCCTCAGCCTATGAATGGAAGTCACAGAGGAGGATGAGATATCCAGTGAGCACATATAAAAAGAGAAAAATGGATGATTCTAATTTTAGGGTGAGAACAGGAGGAGGAACTGGCAAAGGAGACTGGAAAGAAATCATGAGCTGACCCTGAGAGTACTGTGCTATAGAAGCCAAGTAAGGAAAGTTGACTGGGTCAACTGCTGCAGTGAAATTAACTATGATAAAGTCTGAAAACAGTCCATTGAATTGGGTAATTAGGAGATGATGGCCAGAAATGGCAATTTATTTCATTGACTTAGTGGAATCAGTTTGCCTGACTCCTAAAGAATGAGACAAGACAGAAAATAAATGTAATTCATGCAAGGCATTTGACTCAGAATAGGAGATATGAGGAGACAGCTAGAGGTTGGCATGTGGTCAGGGATGAAGTTGTTTTTTATATAGATGAGATCTGGGCATGTTAAGACTGCAAGGAAGAAATAAATTGAGAGAGTAGGATTAAAAAAAAAAAGGAAAAAAGTGATACGAAGCAGTGGGTCAGATTTGGGGTGATTGAAGACTAGGCGCAAAGACTGAATTAAAGATTGCAAAGGTGGTGCTGATTGGGCCCAGCAGGTAGTTGTAATATGAGAAGGGCAAGAAGCTTTGAGACCAAAGTATTGAATTTATCATCCAAATATATAGTAAAATCACCCAGGATCATGGCATGACTTGGAAGACTATGATTCAGATGCCAAAACCCTCAACAAATGAGGAGTAACCTCAATTGGATAACAACCAGAACAAGGTTAGATGGTGGTATGAACAGCAGGCAGAGTCCAAAATGAAAGGGGGTTTTGCTTAAAGGTAAGAGATGGTTTGCCAGAGGTAACGGCAATATTGGAGACAGTCCAGTGCTGCCTCAGAGCCCATGGGCTCTGGACCATAAGAGGAAATGTTTAAGCAGTCTCCATGTGACACCACTGAAGGGGAGGCAGAGAGGAGGAACCTCACTAGGGGAAAACTGAACTTCAGTAAGGATAAGAAGATGGGAGATTAACTGCCACTCTGATATTGTTTGGAGAAAGATTAGAGATGAGGGGTAGAGGAGAAAAGTTCACATCCATCAGTCCCCTGTTTCTTTGAAAAAAGTGAAGGTGAACACAATGCACACAAGGCCCCAAATAAATACCTAGATGCCAGATTAAGGATGTCGAGCCTGGAAAGCAGATCTGAAATGTTGAAGAAATGGAAACTTCTCCCAACACAAAAACAGTAGCAGCTGCCAGTATTTACCATTACATGACCCATTCCAGGAAACTTCTATTTATTTGGAAGAGGAAGAAGGAGAGATAGGGTGAATAAGATGATCATATCACCAGCGAGTACCTAACATGTTAGTGCAGAGGATGGGGGAAAAATGCTTTTAAGGCATTAATAAATTAACAGTTCTAATTAGAAACACAGGACACCCAGTTATTTCATGGAAATGAATTGTGTGAACAGTTCTATCATCTCGGGGGAAGAAAACCTGAACTTGTTTGTATCCTTTCATAAAACAAAGGATATCAAATATACTTGACTGTCTTGCTTTTAACTTTTTTTAAATTAACTTCTTTCATGTTGTGCAGCTAATGAAAATACCTACTAGTAGCTACAGTAACTTTGATGTTATAATTCTCAGAGAACACTTTTAAGTGAAATATATAAATCCATTGATGTTTCGCTGGGATTCAAACTCTTGGGCATTTAGGGGGAGGGGAAAATCCAAGTAAATCAGCTATTTCTGTAAAGATCATTTGTATGTTATCAAATTTACATGTTATCAGAGCTTTGAGTATTACACAATCTGGCTAGCAGCCAGATTGATATAATAAATCTTAATGTCTCTAAATTAAAAAGTCAGTAGATATTTGCCAAATAACCTCTGATCTACTACATCAATTTTTGCCTAAAAACTATACCGTCTAGAATTCTACATGTTTACAGCACTCTTCCTCATAATGAATAGTACATATTCGATGTAATATCAAGCTCTACCCTTTTTGCTTTAGTTTTTTACATTTATATAATTTTCTAAAGAGCTAAACAAATGACTGTTGCAGTGGTTATTTCCATCAGATTAAACGTCTTTTATAAAAACAACTATGATATTTTAAAAATATTGCTGTCTTTCCTTCATCAAAACAACTCACTTCCAATTTAGAATCTGAAAAAGCCAAACTAATAAGATGCTATCTTCTACATTTGATTTATAATAGTTATAACTAGTTTTCCCCATAATTGTCATCTAATTTTTAAAACTACAAGCATCTATTGAATACATGGTTCAAAGTAGAAGCAATCATTTAAAACAAATTTGCTTAAAGTGAATATCCCTCAAAATTAAAAAGTAAAAGTTATTATGTTCATCGACTTTTGCTGCTACCAAAGTGCAGCTCCTCAAAACAGAAATTTGAACCATATGTGCAGCACAGTTTACAAAAGAAGTTAGACATAAAATTTTTTATTGTATTTAAATAAACCTTTTCTGATCTACCATCCCTTGCCTGCCCAACCACTGTCTCATGCCACCATCACTGCCCCCCCCATCACTTTATCTCAACTTCCTTTTTGATCAACAGTGAAATCTGACAATGTTTTCTTTTATGACTTACTGCATTGGTATCATGCTAAAAATAGGACTAATATATTAAAAGACTATCCACACTCCAAGAATACTTTTATAGTTCTTTCTCATTTTTCTGGCACTTTTATGGGGATTTTTATAATTAAATATTTAATCTATACCATTTAATTTATAATAAATGTAAGCTAGAGTTCTAATTTTCTTCCATCCTTCCATTCCTTCCTTCCTTCTTTCCTTCCTTCCTTCCTTCCTTTCTTCCTTCCTTCCTTCCTTCCTTCATTCTTTCATTCATTCCTTCTTTCTTCTTTCTTTCCAAATGTCAGCCAACTACTCCAATAGCATGTATTAAATAACATTCTTTCTTCATTGATTTAATAACACTTTTATCATATATTAAATTCTGGCATTAATAATAGTTTACACTCTCATAGTGCTTACAACGGGCTAGGAATTGTTCTAAACACTTCACACATATTGCCCTTACAACAACCCTATGTAGTATGGACCACTTTATCCCCATTTTATAGATGAGAAATTTGAAATACAGAAGACTTAAGAATTTTCTCAAGGTCACACATTACACTGCTCGCATCTGCTACATATACCTTGTCCCAAATTCTATTTTGTCCCATTACCAATCCCTCAGCTGATATCACACTTTCAATTACTGTAGTTTAACATTTTGACATCTACCAGGGAGCATGCCCCTCACTGTTTGTTATCATGTTATTCTCAAAACAAAATTTTTTAAATAATTTCAACTGGAATAGCTACATGGGCTAGTATCTACCATATTGGACATAGCAGATCCAGATGATCATGTATTCTCTTTTAACCTATTAATATAAGATATTGAAATAACAGATATAATAATGCTAACCCATCTTTCATTGCTGGAAAAAAATCTACTTGGTAATGTTATATTTGAGTTGCTAATATATTATTAATGTAATAAGATGGAGAAAATTGCATTCGCCTGGATTCTTATCACTATATTTGTTCAGAAGAAATGCTTCTTAAATCTCTTGGGATGGCATATAAGACTCAAGAGAATGTGCAAATAACAAGTATAATGGAATTTTCTCTCCATAATGAAGTAGTATAGAATTTTAAGTCCCAAATAGAAAGATTGAGAATGATGAAGTGGAGCCAGTGAGGCTGAGGACTGCATGAGGGAAGAAGAGAAGAATAAAACATTAGTGACATCAGAGAAAGGAACAAGGAAGAAGAGAATTTTCGGATGAGGATTTTTCTGCAAGATTCTATATGTACCATGTGATATAATTCTGTCTTTAGTCCCCACAAATTTTCAGTAAAGTTCACAAAGATCATTAATATTACAGTGTGTGTGTCGGGGGGGGCGGGGACTTACAAGATGTGTTCACAGATATTCTATTTCTCTGAACTTCTAGACATATGGCAGGATTTAATTTCCTAAAGCTCTTAAAATTAGTTGTGAATTGTATTGACTAATAAACATAATTGGGAATAACATGGGTTATTTCTAGACAAAAAGTTTTAGTGCCAATGCATGGTTCTCCACATTCCCTTTTCCCTGTCATAGCTACTGGCCCTGTTCCAGATAGTGGAGTCTATGATGGCCTGTCCCTGAATGAGAACTATGTACAGTAGAGGCCACAGTTAAACTGTGATGGACACAGTTAAATGTGAGCAAGAAATAATCATTATTGTCTTAGGCCACTAAAATGTTTAGATTGTTACCAAAGTATAACCTGGTCTATCCTGACTGATATGGAATTTGATAGCTTGTAGTGGAATGCTGCTGTATGAAAAAAAAAAAACAAACTAAAATAGTTGGCATTGGATTAAGGAATGGAAGGTGGGTGGTAAAGAAAACATTGACGGAGCATGAAAAGATGAAGATCTATGTTATACAGTGAGAAAACATGTAGTATAAGGCAAAGAAAACTAATAGCAAATATGAGAATTATGTCCAGAAAAGCATATGGAGCTGATTGAAATCAAATAGGAAAGAAGTCATGGATGTTTTAGAAAGGTTTGTATTACAAAAGTACCTACCTGGACTAAAAATAATTATGACTGTTCTAGACTTAAGATTGAGATCTTCTATTGAACAGGAAGTGGGCCAATAAAGCTACTTGCCCCAACAAAGGATAGAGTCCCACTTATTCTCTTCAGATATGACCAGAGAGAATAATAGAAAAAGAAGAATCTCTCAGGGGTAGACACTAGGAACAATAAAGAAAAATGATCAAGGAAGCCAAATCAGAACTTGATCAGGAAAAACACCCACATACAGAAAAGGGGATCTTTTCCTATTACCCAATCTCTGTGTATATCGAGTAAGTGAGGGGAAGATAATAATTTAGTTTACAAGTTTCCACATCAAAAGAAGCCACATTCAGGCTTGATAGAGACTAATAGACATTACTTTATTCTTGATGAAGAAGTCATCATATATCACCCAGAAATCCTGGACTTTGAGTCTGATTTTGTTACACTATGGGAATTTTAAGTAGTATCCCTTGTAAAATGGACACTTGTGTTTTGAATGTAGAAAGGAGAGTGAACCAAATAATTGGTGGCCAGAATGGAGTTCTCTGTACTATTTGCAAATACTCCAGTCCTTTCTACTTCCAGGATTAAGGTAGGATTGTTTTAAATCAATCTTTAAAAGTTAGCTACAGACATGTGACTTGCCTTGGCCAATGTTATCTAAGAAATTGTGTATGTCATCTCTGTGACGATGCATTAAAAACAAGAACATGATTCCCTGTGCTTCCTTCCTCTGGAAGTAGTCACTACATAATTTTCCAAACAGGTGACACACTGAAAGCCTATATCCCTAAGTGAGAAAATCCCCAGCTGACTCTTAATAGAGTAAGAAAGAAATAACCTTTCTTTGTTTTAAACCACTAAGAATTTGGGATTGTTACCACACAAAACCTTGTCTATCCTGACAGATATAATGTTAATTGGGTTTTCTGAGTAAACCAGGAAAGGGGGTGAGTTCTGCCCTGACAGTACAAGGCCAATGGAGTCATTCTATGAAGACAAGGAAATAGATATCTTCTGCATTACATTCAGGATATATGCGTCTATAGTCACATATATTCATTGTTATCTTTATGTGCTATAATTTTTTCCAGTTTTTATATCAAAGTTATGCTAGCCTTATAAAACAGACAGACAAATTTTGTGGGGTTATTTTTTCTGTGCTTTAGAATAGTGAAAGGAACAAAGGAATTATCCGTCCCTTAATTTTTAAGTTCATTCGTAAAACCATTTTGATCAGAAGTATCTTTCACTTACAAGTAAAAGATACCTAAACCAGCTTTAGCAAAAATAAAAATAAAAATAAAAATGTTTTGCACTACTAATAAGAAGGACAGGAGTAGCACTAGTGACTCACAGAATGTTAGAACCTTTCCTTTTTCTTTTTTTACATGTCTGTATCTGAGTTCTGTGTCTCTATATCTGTATGTGTGCCTGTCTCTCTCAGTTTCCATCTCTCAGTCAGAGAGTTTCTGTGTGTCTATCTGTGCCCTGATCCCTGTTTCTCTCCCAGCCCCACTGCAAATGGCTTAATTTAAGTGAGACAGGGAGCTGTGACCATACCATTCCCAGCTTACATCACCTCCATTGATCAACCCAGAAGAGAACTTTTCCCACAGATATGAAAACATAATCATAGTAACGGGCTCTGATTAACTCTGTCTGGTCCCCTGTCCCATCTTGGATCAATATATGTAGGATATATGCAAATATGGTTTGACATGGTGGGTTTACTCCTGTGGCCAGAAATCAGTGTACTATAATTCTCTGCTATCTGAGTATAACATAATTGGGGTGGGAGAGAATTCATCCTCAAAGGAAGGAGTGGTATTGACTAATATAAGGAAAAAGAGAGAAAGATATATGGAGAGACACAATTGCTAGACCAATAAACAAAACAGATATCCACTTGAAAAAAAAAAAAAAAAGAAATGGGCCTAGCCCTGGATGGGGAATAAATCTTTGGCAGGCAACCTTTTTCAATTAATTCCATGGTCATTGGTCTATTCAGGTTTTCTACTTGAGTCAATTTTGATAATTTTTATGTTTTTAGAAAATCAATTTCATCTAGATTTTCAAATTTATTGGCAAAGAGTTAAACAGGCTTTTTCACAGGCTTTTCCTCATAATGTCTATCAAAATGAAAGCCAATGGCATAATGCCAAGGGCAACTCCATAAAAACATTTCTCTGGGGAACTAAAACAAAAGTATTTCAGGCTGCTGCGCTCTCTTGGTTTAGCTTCATCCAGGAATAAAACTTAGTGTGTCTAGAGAATAGATGGGCAGCATATCCTTCAGGCAATTCTCCATACATATTATTTTTCACAATTGAGCTTTTGATAGGTACTGGGCAGCAGAGAATTCTAGGTTATAACCTCTGACAAGAACTTGGAGTACAAATTATTTTACAATGCTCAATTCATATGTCTCCTTGGTCAGCCAAAATATAGAGAGTTGACATTCTCATATGAAAGTTGAGACATCTAAATAGGACATATGTCTTCAGAGAAGACACTTCAGGACCACACAAAAGTAGGCCCATGGAATAAGTACTCGTGGATAGGGCCAAGCTATTCTCAGAACAACTGAACAGCTAGACGAAACACAAGACAGAATGACAAATAACATTCTGGGAGAGCTCGGAAGAAGTGGATGTGCTGCCATCAGAGGGTATGAATACAGTAGGTAGAAAAGAAAAACGTCATACAGGTTTCACTGAGAAAGTAGTAGTAGACATGGGTATTGTAAGATGAGAAGGATTTCAGTGGGCAAAAGGTAAACAGAGGGGCAAGAAAGAACACCATGAACATGTCTTATGAAACATATTTCTTGAGAGTTTAGGGAATGCATGGAGGAATAAAACAAAGATTGGATGAAAAGATGAATGAGACGGTGTGATGTAAGAAAGTCCAAAATGAACATTGAATGATGTGGAAAATGGCCCTGACAGACAAAAGGCCTTTCACGTCCCAACTCCAGCTGAGCTCCCAGGTGCATTCAGCCAAATGAATAATCCTAGATATAATCACATGAAGCAGAGAAAAAAAGTACAGCTGAGCCCTGCCTGAATTCAAATTAACACTGAGAAACAATAAGCTGTTGTGGTTTTAAGCCACCAGGTTTGGGTATGACTTGTTCTCTTAGGTACATGCTCAGGTCTGGAACTGTTTGCCCAGGCTTATGCTATCCTTATAACTAATGTGAGCAATGTAATGGTCAGAATTCTGAATTTAAACCATCCTTCAAAAAGGACCCATGAATTTTTTCTTCTTTGAGAAGCAGCACAAAGGTATGGATTTTGAAAAAAAAAAAAAAAAAAGTAAATCCAATGGCACTGTTATTTATACAGTCACCTTGTGTGCACTTTCTTTCGCTTTCCCCACATTATAAAATGTTGCCCTGTATTGTGATTTCAACAATGCTTTGAATTACTGTCTAGATGTTCTAAACCTAACGTTCTATATTTTTTTCCATTACAATGAATATGATGACTGACATTTACAGGAGTGACACACTCACATGGGCTGATCTCTGGGACTCTGAAAGTCCACTCCACTAGCTATATAATCCTCTTGCCTCCATTCTTTAGCACAGCTCAGTTTGGATGTATTGATTTTGTGAATAATTGTGAAAATCTAAAACGCAATTCAAAATTATCATGTTAAATTTGTTGAAATAACCTTGATTCAAGTTTCCCAGACAATGGGAGCAAAAATACCCTGATTCTTTGCTTATGCCATTCGCTTCAATGTAAACTGCCCATCCTTTATCACCTCTAGGTTATTCAACATTTTATAGCCACTTGCTCTCTCTAGTTCCCTCTCAGGAGGCAGAATCTATTATTTTCTCAACAGGTTCTCATGGCCTATTAAATGTACTTCTATGATGTGGGACTGCATTTTATTAAATTACCTCTCTTTTTGTCTCTCTTGCTGTGAAGACAGGTCCAGTTATTATCTTGACTCTTCCAGTTCCAGTATCACTGCACAGCAAATAGTAGGTACTTGGTAATTCTTGACGGTATTAAAATTAAAGGTTAAAATTAAAACTGTCACCTGTTTAGCAAAATGAAAACAAACTTAAATGGAAGAAAATATTCTGATGATTGATTTTGGGTAAGATCATTTTAGAAAAAAAATTATTTGTGAGTATTGTAACTAATATAAATTAATTACAAAAGCAATGGTGGAAGGATAAAAGAAAAAAATCAGAACCAGAACAACTCAAATAAAAACGTAATAATTGTGATTAAGTCTAGGAAATCATTAATTATACAGTGATAAATATATTGCTTTTCTAGTTTTCTACTCTCTTCTATTCTTCCTAGAACTTGAAATCAGGTTTATAATTTGACGCTAGAAACGATTACTATAATTCAAGTCAGTATATAATCTAGACCACATGGAATCTTTCTTCTTCATTAATCTCAAGGCAAGGTCTTAAGTAGCAGGAGAAAGGAGAAGTGGGGGTGGAGGTGGGGGCGGAATCCTAACCAGTTAGGGCTTTACTTCTTTTACTTATTCTTACAACCACAGAGGTAATAGCGATAAGTCAGAGAATGGAGAGAACTATTATAAAATTTCAGTTAGTATCTTCAGATAGTTTAGGAGCTATTACATTCGCTGAAACAAGAACAGATGGCAATAAAAAGAGCAAACAGAGAAATTTCTGGAAGGGAATAGCTCTACCCATAATTTCAAAGCCTCCCTGATGTAGCACCCAAGACTGTAGCACTCAAGTTAGCAGCCATATTTCCAGGAATAGTCTCCACCTTTGCAAAACAGCAGTGTTAAACTAAGCTGAGGAGCTATGACATCAATCTTTTTGTCATCCATCTTTTTAATCAACTTTATTAAAGTATAATTCACATTCGGTAAACTACATTTATTTTAAGTACACCATTAGAAGAGTTTTGATAATTTATAACTACCACGATTTGTAATGGTCACCACAATCCAGATATAGAACATTTCTTCACCTAAAAGTGTTCACTGTGGCTCTTGGCAGTCAATCTCATCTCACTCCTGTCCCTAGGAAACCAGTTATCAGCTTTCTGTACCAGTAGGTTATTTTCACTTTTTAGAATTCCAAGTAAATGGAATCACGCAATGTGTACTCTTCTTCGATGAATATATTTTTGAGATTCTTCCATGTTATGTGTGTTCACTGTATGGCCAGCCATACCACAGTTTGTTTATTCACTCACTTGTTGATGGACCTTTGAGTTGTTTCCAGTTTGGTGCTTTTATGAATAAAGTTGCTATGAATTTCATGAATAAGACTGTGTTGACATATATTTTCATTTATCTTAGATAAATACCTATGCATGGAATTTCTAGGTAATATAACTGCATGCTTAACTTAAACTGCAAAACTTTTCCAAAGTGTGTATACCCTTTTATGATCCCCTCCAGTAATATATGTGTTTCGGTGCTCCACATCTTTACCAACACTTGATATTGTTAATCTTTTTCTTTTTTTTAAACATTCCAGGGGGATGGGTAACAGTATATTACTGTAGTTTTAGTTTGCTTTTTCCTGACAATCAATAATGCTGAACATCTTTTTATGTGTTTATTGGCCATTAGTATATCTTTTTTTTGCCAAGTATCTGTTCAGTTCTGTTGCTCATTTACTATTGGGTTGTTTGCTTTTTTATTTTTGAGTTGTGAGATTTCCTTGTATATTCTGGATACAAGTACTTTTTTCATAAATATGCATTGAGAATAATTTCTCCCAGTCTGTAGCATGCCTTTCATTTCCTTGATGGTTTCTTTCAAGGAATAATAGGTTTTAATTTTGATACTAACTTATCTTTTTAAAAAATTTTATGGTTTATACTATCTAAGAAACTTTTGCCTACTTCAACATCACATAGACTGTCTCCTATACTTTATTCTAGAAGTTTTATAGTTTTGGCCTTTACAATTTTGTCTGATCAACTTCAAGATACTCTTTGGATATGGTGTGAACTATGTGCTAAGATTTGTTTTATTCCACATAAATAGCCAGTTATTCCAATACCCTTTGTTGAAAACATTATAATTTGATCCATTGAATTACCTTGAAATCTTTACCAATAAACAACTGTGTGTGTATCTGAACTATCTATTGTAGTCCATTGATCTATATATCTATTTTATGCTAATATTCACTTTCTTAAGTTCTGTAACATGGCATCTTGAAACTTAGGTACTTTAAATTTTCCAACTTGATTCTTATTTTTCAAAACATTATTAGATATTTTAGATCTTCATTTCCATATAAATTTGATAATAAATATGC